GGGTGCAGGGCTCCGCCTCAGGTGGGGGCTGCCAGGCCTCGGGGGCTGGACCTGCCTCTGGGGAAGAAGGCCTGAGCTGGCACCTGCTCCCAGCCCCTCCCTCTTTCACTCATCCCCTGGCTCCTCACCTGTCATCTGGGCCTGGGGCTGTGACCTGGATCTGGGGGCCTCCACAGCCCATGAAAGTTCCAGTTTCCCGGTAGGCAGCTCTGGGCCTGAGGGTGGCAGGGGGACAGCTGTACTGGCTTCACTGGCTGGCACCATCCCTGTTGGACCGCCCCTCCCCTTGGCATGGCACCGCCATTCCGCAGCCCCTCACCACAGGCCTCCGGAAGGACTGGGTCCGCCGCCTGAGCCTCCAGCAGTTGCTCCAGGAGGCTCTGCTGCAGGGCCTCCAGCAGGAGGTCCTCGGTGCAGGCAGCCAGGCTCACGAGGGGGCTGGGGGCGCCGGGCACCCGGCTCCACCTGGCTGGTCCAGGCCCAGGACTCTCGCCAGCATCTCCTGCCAGGCATGGCCCAGGGAGCGCCCCCTGCAGGGGAAGACCGTGCTGGCAGAGCAGCCCACAGCCCAGGAGGTGGCACACCCCCCGGGAGCCAGGAGGGCAGAGCAGCCTTACCCTGGTGGGTGGGGCATCTTCAAGAGCCTTGTGGTCCCCCTGGCCAACGCCTGGACTTCCTGAGGGAGAGTTGGGGGGGCAGCACTGGGACTTGAGACACGAAGCTGGTCCCTGCCCCCCTTCCCTAGTCCCAATAGCCCCCTCCCATCAGCCTCCCCAGGACCCCCTCCAACCTGGCACCATCCTCTCCCAGACCAATTTCTAAAACCACAGATCTGACCTCGCCAGGGCTGCCCCTGAACAGAACAAAGTCCCAGCACCGCGCCGACCCTCCCTCTGCCCGGCAGCCTCCGCACGTCCCACCTCCGCACCCCTCCTCGGAGCTGAGCGTGAACACTTTGTGCGGGTCGGTGGGGTCTCCCGAGTTGTCGTGCAGCAACACGAAGCGCTTGGTGCTGCGCAGGGCACAGCGGAAGTTGGTTTTCCAGGCCGCCAGGAGCTGGCCCTCGGGGGCCGGCAGGTCACCTGC